GGGGGCGGTTTTACCAGCCAAGTGCAGCTTGAATCGTGAGGAGCGGACTATGGGGAGAAAAAAAAATCCCACTGTTTTCATGAACATCACCGTGATTAACATGTAAGACCTGGAGGCAATGGTCTTTGTCCTTCTAAGATAATGTAATTCTTATTATAGTTATGAATTAAAAAAGATCCCGAATCAACAGCGGACTTGTTTGTGGACTGAAGGGGTTTCTCAATTTGTTTCCGCGTCGGTGTAAATGTTGGACCGCATTTAACCCGAGTTTCTACCCTGTGGAGTGAAAAGTGCGCCAGGCTTATGTCCAACGCTTGAGCGACGGGATTTTTTTTGGGGAGGCTATGTGGCTTTTGGATGGAATGCACCTTTTCCTAACGGGACGTAACGCACAGAGGGATATTATTTGAAGCGGATAAGAGCAGCGGATGGGATCCTTCCTAAAGGGTAAATAGCCTACATATTCATACTCATTCTGCAAGATCATCAGGCAGGAAGAATTTCTCTTGTGGGTTTTGACACTTTGCTGGTAAAACCAAGCAACTGCGATGCAGTGAAACTGATTTTCTTGTTGATGATTTACCTTATGAGGCGGTGACAGAGGACAAGTTCAGGGGGATGTTGAGAAGATGAATGTCTTTGTTTCCTTTACATACGCTATTTCTGCGTAGTGGAAGAGGTTGGTAATGAGAAGAACTGCATAAGAAGCTGTTGGAAACGTCCCCTTACACAGCAGAAGGCAGCATCTCTTCTGCTTCTCTCTTCCACTTTGGGCTCTCTCACTCTGTTCCAAGCGCATGGACGCACAGAGCTGCACAGTCTTACAAAGCAAGCTGCGCAAAATAGCCAGGCTGGAGAATAAGGCTTTGCCTGAAATGGCTGAGTGGTGAATTTATTCTTAGAAGTATTTTCTTGCTGTAGAATGAAACATCAACATATTCAACACCAGTCTGTCGTTCACCACCTCCAGTGCACTGTACGTGCGCATGTAGATCTAATATCTTAAACTGTGACTGCCCATCATAATTTTCTTGTGATGAAATGAAATGTATTTATTTATTCTTAATCGGTCTTGATCATGCATTATGAAAATAATCCGAATTAGCAGATTTTGGATATTGATTTTGAGATGAGATTTGTTCAAATACTTTCGCTGATTCTTTCTTAATCAAATGAACGCAAACCTCCTCTCAGGCTAATTGCTAGGAGGTAAGGATAGAGGGGGATTGCAAACACGGCGCGCGTGTTTAACGTGCGCGCGCATGGTGAATAGAGTCTCTCTATCCGATCCTGGAGGAGGAGGAGGAGGAAAGTTGCGCCCGTCGGCGGGGGCACCATTACAATATAAAACTGGATGAATGCGGTGCTTGTGTGTGCGCGCTTCAAGGACTTGCCACACCAAAAATGAAGTAGAAAGCGTTCGGTGCTGCGATGTGACCCCGGCAGATAGTTTTTAATGGCATTACCCCATCACCCCTTATACCCAAAAGTAAAGCCCTGACCAGGCTTTGATGGAGTGAGCAGGAGATCAGTTACAGAGATAGCAGTCATTACTTGAGCTACTGTGTTGGCATTAAATAAATCGCCTTGCAGGTGCACCTAATCCAGCCCCAGTGATCATGCATATCTTTTGTTGAGAGGCTACTGTCTGGCAGCACAGCAGCTCAAAAAATATTAAAGTGATCTCACAGGTTCGGATTTGCCAAAATATAGTCAGGGGTGATATAATGGATTCTGGACTACTGTGACCCTCACTCCCACTCCTCCACCATCACTTAGCCTGTAATCAGCAGCACCTTGAGGTCCACTTGAATGTACCTCACCTTGTTCTTCACTATTTAAAAGAAAGACTGACTGTACAAGAACAGACCTGAGACAAAATGGCCCTTGGGCGCAGATGCTTTCATGGATATGTATTTAATAACAAACTGATGGCAAGAATGCCATTGCAGGCATTAGATAACACTATCCGCCTATGACCTTTCCTGAAATTCTTCAGTTATTTTCCACCCTGTCTTCTCTATCCTGCTGCTTTCTTGTGTTCTCAGTGCATGGTGGTGGAGGCTGCTTCCATGCCACTCAGTCCCAGGGGCCCTGATCTACATAGTTCAGCCCTCAAGGAAAACATCTACTCACCGCTCCTCATTGTCTTCATTTTTTCTCTATACATGCTCTGCTCTCCTGGTTTACCACATCCTCCTCTCCTAACGTCTCCTCCTACTGACTCATCTACTGTTTCTGTGCATTGGAGGGAGCTCATCTGTAAATGATAGATTCCTTGTTAACTTGTGTTGTGGGCCCTTTCTTTCTGGAGAAAGTGGTCACCTGTCTAGTGACCTGTTTGCTTGTTAGAGTTTCTGCTTCTGAAGTTTGCTATTGAAACTACAGTACTGGTCTGAACTGTTTCAGTGTCAATGAGACATTGGCTATACTGGATCAATGCTTGTTGCCATGGAATTTGCACAGTAATGCATCCTTCTCATATATAAATAAAGCATTAGATTTTCTGTTCTACACACCAGTAAAAATAGGACCTTTTTTTTTTTAGAATAAAGCTACAAAGGTAATTATTACAAGCCACAGCCACAATGGGTGCTTCCCTAGGTTGTGTTCTTCCAAGGACATAGCCTATGAAGGTGTATCCTTCAGACTGACAGGCAGTGGGTTCATCCTGCATCCTCCCCCCAAATGCCACAGAGTGCAGAGCAATACACTAACCATGCATTCAGGTGTTCAACAACTTCAGGAAGAAATCTCCCCATCAAGAGATTGCCTTTGAATAGTTAACAAGTGCTTATGTTCCCTCATTATGAGTTTTATGTTTCAGTCATGGCGTTTCATTTCACAAATGGCAAACCAACGGGATACACAAACACTTGTATTTAAATTCTTTTCTTTAGAGCAATGTGTGTTATGACATCCATCAACATTTCATTTCCCAGCTGCATTTGGGAGGAGGTCTTGTTGACACACATACACAATGTGTTTGGTCTTTGAAATGAGTTACAGTTACTCAGGGCAATACACCAGAGAATCTGTACTGTATTAAATGTGTTAGCAAAGAAATCACCAGCACTCACTCCGGTGAGCTTTCAGGGCTCAGTCATTGAGATTGTGGACACCTTAAATACCTGGGGGTCCACCTCAACAACAAAATGGATTGGACTGAAAACACTGATGCCCTGTACAAGAAGGGCCAGAGTCGCCTCCACTTGTTGAGGAGACAAAGGTCCTTTGGTGTGCGGGGGGCACTCCTTCGGACTTTTTATGATACTGTAGTGGCATCTGCTGTTTTTTATGCTGTTGTGGGCTGGGCGGGAGGTAGCACAGAAAGAGACTAAACAAGCTGGTCAAGAGAGCTGGGTCTCTCCTGGGCTGCCCCCGGATTCCATCGAGGAGGTGGCGGACAGAAGGATGCTGGTAAAACTAACATCCATCATGCATGACCCCTCCCATCCCCTGCACCACACAGTAGAGGCTCTGAACAGTTCCTTTAGCGCAAGACTGTTACATCCCCAGTGCAAGAAGGAGCGTTACTGTAGGTCGTTCCTCCCCACAGCAATCAGACTGTACAATACATCACTGCAGGGATAATCTAGGTGAAATTATGAGGGACTATGTAATAGTCAACTGAGGTGCAATACTCAAATCCTGGGGTAAAATGCATGGTTAATATGCACATATGTAAATTCTGTTCTTGATTATTCAAATACTTGATTCTGTCTATTTTTGAGTGCTTGGAATTTATTTATCAGAATATGTGTGTGGTGCTTGTTCTCATGGTGTTATGCTGTTTATTCTCCATTGCTGCTGAAACACTGAAATTTCCCCATTGAGGGATCAATAAAGTACCTACCTGCCTACCTACCAAAGCAAAATATGACAGTAATCTTAAATACTATTGGTTTAAAACCGCAGCATGTCACATTAGTTCAGCATTAATGACTTGTACAGTACTGATTTGGCAGATACAATATGTTGATCTTACTGCAAAGTTCAACCAATATTCATGCATATCATTTTAGAAACCATCTAGTCAAAGGATGACATTTTCCTCCCCAAAAGATGATAGCATTGGTCATTTTTTAGATGGGTTTGTTTACATTGCATTATAACACTATATCCCCTCAAAATAACATGCATGTGTAACTTTCATGTTAAAGACTATAGCACTGGTTTGTTTTGGCAATGCAGGTAGGCCCCCCCCACTTCTGACAGAGGTCAGAAGATTCATTTTGGAAAACATTGGCAACCACTTTTATTTTTTTTATTTAGGTGTGATAACTTATTATTGCTCGAGGGATAACAGATCCATCTAGTGAGAAGCTGACTAATAACTAGGTTACTTGTATATTTAAGGGTAAAACTCAGTGGTGTAGAAACACTGCTGAATACACCGTGTGTTAAGATCTCATTGCAGTGGTACTATGGCAATGAATGAACAATTACAACATCTTAAATATGCACCTTCCTACTGAGACAGCAGGAAATAAATTAGGTATTGACAGAGAGGGCCCAGGAGGTTTCACCGGGCTAATCTGTCCTTTATTTGTGAAAAAAGTGGTTGGTTTTCCATTTGGTTAATTCTCACATGTTGTTGAAAATGCTTTTGCTACTCTGGTAGCAGGCCTGTTTTCACTGGATGGACTGTAGACAAGTGCATTTGTTCAGAGCTGAGAATGAAATAAACATCACCTGTTTTGAATCAGTAAGAAAAGAGAGAAGACATAACCAATCTGAGCATTGCATTTAATTGGTTTTGGAATATACATTAGAATGCTATTGTATGCTAGAATGCCATAGAGTATATGTATTACATGTTTACTCCATGCAAAACAAAATTCACTTGCATGTGGTTAAGACTTGGAATTGCTTTAATTACACTACTCTGACAGTCTCATATTTAACTGTGTATCCTAAATGTGAAATTATGAGTTGACCCTTATTGCTAACACAGTAGGAAACACAGTGCATTTATGCTTTAGATGTGTAATTAGCCAACAGTGAAAATGGACAGGTTTGATGATCACATTAACATGCTGCTTAGCATCCACTTTGACAGAATTTGGAGGTTGGGTAACTCAAAAGCCCCGAAGATGTTCATACTGCACAGTCCTGGTGCTGTGTTCATACCTGACCTCTTTGGTGCACATTAGGGTGACCATGCGGAGCACACATGTACACACACACACACTGCGCTGTGTACCCACATACACTCTCCCTGTAGTTCTCTCTCCTAATTCACACTGAGTGCCTTTTAGATGCATTTTTTTTGTACAGGCATCTCACATAGATGGAATTCCATTCTATCAAATGTGGCAATTCACACTGACTCCACACGTGTGCTGGAGCCCTGTGCTTTTTTCACACTTCAGGTCTTTTTTTCTCCACTGCTGCATTTATTGAAGCATAATTTCCACAAACAGCTGTTTAAATCACACAATTTA